AATTAATTTAGAAGCCACCTAAGTTATACTATTAGGTTGGGACAGTTTACGCTTTATAAACCGCTTCGCGGTTTATAAAAACCAGCCCAGGTCATACCAGTAGAACTTGGGTAGCTATTAAATTCACTCCTTATACATGTAACTTAATTTTCCATCACTAAATGTACAAAATAAGACAATTTGACCTTCGAAATGACTTCAAAATGTACGTATTTTAAACGTAACGTCAAACGGATTAATACGTTTTTGACGTAAGTCAATTTTATTTGTCAGAGATTGGATTGCATCGGTCATATGACCGGCGTTAAACGGCTAAATGGCAAATGAAGTAAACTGGCAAAACCAAAATTGATTATACTAAACATTTCACTTTTTACATTGAATCTTAGAGGAAAACATGCAATATGCAAACAATTAAAGAACGTCCCTATTTGCTAAAAAGTATCTGTATTTTAACACTCATTATACCTTAAGCTTTCCGTCAGAGAACTCACCAGCCGTTTCAAACCGGCAAGATCGGCATAGGCTGATGTGAAGACGAATAATGACACCCGTAGAATAATGACCGTGAGTCATTTTTCTATGTAAATTGGATGTTAAACATAGTGCTGCACAGATTGAAAGCTTAAGGGGACTTGAAAAATTAGTTCTTTCATATACTTAGCTAATACGAACTATTTGTAAAATTGGCAGCCTATTGACAAATACCTTGATGATACAATATAACAACTATCTCTTTTAAAGTCAACATTTCACAAATTCTAAAGTCGATTCAATAACCCTTTTAGCCAAAGAGAAGTCCGTCGATAAGTCGAATGTTGACTGACGTTTTTGATACATATTGTTAAATATTATTTTGCACAAATAAAACTGCAGTATCAACAAATGTAATTTACTTAGTTGAAAAAATAGCAAGAGTAGACCTGATATTTGTTTTTTTTTTGTTATTTTATTCTTTTATTTTATAACTATCGAAATATTTTGATATTTAACCCCCTAACTAGAAATCCTAGATCCGCTAATCGCAAAAGAATAAACTTTGTACTTTCCTTTTGACAACTCAACACATCCTTTGATAAACATGCTGTTTGTTATATTTGACACGAATTTATGTAAATAATAAAAAACAAACAAGACATCAGTTTAGTGTGTCAAGGTCACACGAATTTGTATCGACCATAGAACTTGCGAAATGATGACTTTAAACGAGACTGTTGAGATCCTTGTTTCATCAACATGTTTGTCAAAAGCTTGCTTCGTTTTAGAAATTATTCGTACATAGAGCATGCATGTAATTTTCGGACATATAGCACAAGTATCTTACAATTTGAAAAAGAAGAATTGTGTGGCGTTTTAGAGAGTTTTGGTACATTTTCATTAAAACCCAAAGAACAAGCATTAATCAGGTCTGGTCGATTTCCAAATATGGAAGTCAAGAATGATAACTGAAATGTGCTATACATATATTTCATATACACGTAAGTGTTTTTTTAAGAAGTCATTAAAGGGACAATAAGGTATTTCTCACATATTAACCGTGACAAAACCTAACATTTTCATTAAAAAAATTCAAATACATTAATACGTGCAATAAGATGTGATAGTTTACGGAGGAACACATCATATGGTCAACATATTATCTATTACAATTATAAAAATTTACCAGAAAATGCTCTATGTCGGTAAAATTAATTTTGCTTAGCCTTCCGATTTTCATCGATGTTGTGATGTTTCCATGCGTATAGATCTACTGCACGCGTGTTTATCGTATAGACTACTTTTAAAATATCATGGGTTTCACAAGCGCTGAATACTTATCTATATATACACGTTAAATAGGCATAAGGAAAAATCTAAAACGTGGGGAAAAGGGATTGTAAATCTAAAACGTGGGAAAAAGGGATTGTAAATTAATGTTCTTAGCCAAACACGGACCTTTTAAAACATAAGAGGTGGGATCATGTACAATGGAGGAGAAATATCCCCTGTCGATCGGTCACACTCCGTGTGTGCTTTTTGTCATGATTGGGCAAACGGAAAAATCAGAGAAGACAATGAACTAACAATTTGTCATGTAAAAAGTCTATGTAAAAAGTCAATCAACATTCGGCTTGAAGATAGATTGTATTTGCTAACAAGAGCATTGTATCGGCCAAAGAATTTGCAAAATGTTGACTTCAAACGAAACTTTGATATTCTTGTATCATCAACTTATTTGTAAACAGCTTGCCTTGTTTAGAAATTGTTTGTACATAGAACACCCTCCTGTGTATCGAATCAATTGGGAGATATAAACTTCATATGCAGGTGATTGCAATTAAAAAAAAGCAAGCTGTCGATAGAAAAGTTGAAGTCATCACGTTTGTCATAAAGTTTTGTTGTTGGTTTGCCATAAGTAGCTTTCCATTGTAAAATATCCAAATAGGTTTAAGAGATCTAAACACATGTAATGCTGTTATAGTACATTTTAATTGATTGTTCGTCCTGTGGTCGTCATAAAAACGCAAGAGAATTAAATGTTGAGTTCAAAACCTTGTCATCAATCATCTCTTTTAAACTTTGTATCACTCTGTTTAGATGGGGGCCATTTTTCATCAGGGATCAATTTCTTATAGGTTGCACAGGCAGCAAAATGACACCAAGGGTTCTTTTTCTACAAAAATACATTTTTCTAAGGCGTGTGGGTCATTTTTCAACGTCGAAAAATGGCCCTAGGTCATTTTTATACGGAGGTCATTATTCGTCTTTACACCTGAAAAAACATACCGTAGATCACTAAATTTTCGCGACACCTTACTTTTGCAAGATAGTCATAAGGTACCGGTATTTAGAAGTAAGACAAAATTTTCACGAATGTTGGTTATTGCCATGATGTAATATACGTGTGAATATTTTTTACTAGTTGGCAGTGCTTGCGTTATCACGCGAAAATAAAGTTGTCGCGGATAAAAATTGATTTACAGAAGGTCGTAGGTACCGCACCGTTGTATATGTCCATGTCAGGGTCACACGATTTTTAGGTTCTGAAACTTAGTTTTTTCTAAGACCTTATACCTTCAAGAATGAAACGATATTTTCATGTGTCATGCAAAAAATCTATTTTTGTCAGGTTTTCTGTTTTCCGTCACGGTGTAGCTTCAAACTTAAAAAAAAATTCTTTCGTTGGCAAGGACGACACCACTATAATAATAATGACAAAATAATTACATCAGAGTGAAAAGATCTTTAATAGAAATGTTTCAAAATTACCAAGGTTTTTTTGTTTTGGAACAAGAAAAGTACATATGTACGTTATGTTGACCTTAGCCCAGTTTAAATCTATTTAATTTAAACTATCCAATATTTCGGATTTTAGACAGTTCCTGTAATTCTTTTAGTATTAGAGTTATCTCAAGTGTCCTAACGAAAGATAAATCACACAGACCACTCCAGAGATTATAATCGGGGTAATTTAGATTGTAGGTCCGTGGTTGTGAATTTTTAAAGACGGTCAGTTCTTTTTCACTGTTTACAACAAATGATTGTTTCTTCTCTTAGAGTAATGAGACCCCTCCCCCCCCCCCCCCCCTCCAAAAAAAGAGAAAAATTGTTTCCCATTTCTGTAAATACTTAAATACTTTAACTCTAAATCAATTGGTTAATTTAAGATATGATGTTGTATTTATGCGATCATTCCGGTTAATAAATTTGAAATTTGAAATTATCATTTAACAAAAACACAGATATTAAATGATGAATCAAGCAAAGAACTTTATCGTGAAATATAGTCTGAGATTTTTTTTTTTATCGAAGTCTAATATGATAGGGCAAATAATTAAAAGGGAAAAAAGCTCTGTCATTACAAATTAATTTTTATAATTGAAGGCATTTACAAATAAAAAAAAAACAAAAGCATACTCACTACATGTCAAATAAGAGAGAAGATAAAGTAACATTTTCTGTCATATTAAAATGGCTTTTAATAAACTGGATGAAATATTACAGGTTCTTTATTTTTTACACAGTCATAGTTAAGCTAAAAGCTCTTGAATTTACTTTAACACAGTCGAGTTGGTGTTGTTTAATGATGTGTTAGATATTGTGATTAGTGTCACTTACTGGAATAAAAAAAATATAAACATATGTATATTTGACATCTTATGTTGTTGAAAAATGCCTTCCTTGTTTTATTTTGCTTTTACTTGAACATGTTACCCATTTGCAAGTTCATATAAATTGTAGATTTGAAATATGTGAAAAGGCAATTTCTACAATTAGCTTAACAAAATAACTTAATTACCCATATCCAGGATATTAAGCGAATAGAATATATAAAGTATTACTTTATTGTTTCAAAGGTTTCTATACAGATAAAATAAAGTATGTCAATATGAAAAACTGATACATGTATTTACTCGTTTTGTTTTAATTAAATGTGGTCTTTCTTTGCAATTGAAGACACAAAGAAAAAAAAGCATGAAAAGATGACTGACATTCAAGTCTTTTAAACCTCATTTGGCACAATACAATATGTAAGATACAGAGTATGGATTTAATACTGAATATAGGTATGGTGATTTAAGATAATGGCAATTTCGATAGATTTAGATAAATGCATTCTGTATTCTTATATCTTAGTTTGACTTTGGATTGACCCCCATTAAGGGAATCATGAGAATAAAAATGTGAAACCAGTTTAATCCTCGTTTTCAATCCCTTCCAAAATAACCTTAATTTCAGTATGTGTTCTATTAACCTATAGGTATGCCGTGAAGAAAAGATGATGGGGGTATATTTTAATTAAGTTATCTTTAAGTAATTTTTTTTTTTTTTTTTTTTTTTTTTTTTTTTTTTAGAATTTATTGCTTTATTTTAATTCTGACAAAACTACACTTTTATTAACACATTGCCAATTGAACTGAAGAATACTCTTAAGATTGTTATTTGAAAAAAAAATTGTGAAAAATTTCTATAAATTATTTACTTACATTCTTAAATATTCTATTGAAATATTTTCATAGATGGAAAAGAAGACGATAAAGAAGATGATATGTGGATTCTTGTTGATGTTCACAATAGCATGTTCTGGTATGTAATAATATACATGTACGGCTTTTGTATCCTTTGTTGCAATAGAATGTTCTGGAATGTACTCATGTACGACTTTTGAATCCTTTGTTGCAATAGCATGTTTTGATTTGTAATATTAATATTAATTTTTTTTTAAATTATATACATTAAATATGATTGTTGCACAATGAAATGATGCGCAATAATAAATAGATGTGAAATAACGGCAACTTGCAATATTCATATTTACATGTACTCAATATAAAAAAAAAAACGTGTTTTTTTTTTTTGTTGCTTTTTTTATATATACATTTTAATGAAATAAAAAAACATAAAAAGGTATAAGTTCTTTGTGGCCTTTTTTCTTTATGAAATTACTTTAAATCCGAGAAAAAAAAATGATTTGGCGACATCGGCAATTATCCCTGAACATGATGAAAAAGCTTGGTTTGAACAGAAAAAAAAATCAGCATTAAATAATTTAAGGTGCATTTCATGTGGCATAGTTTAAATCTTTGCCAAGCTCAAAGCTTCACTTATTTACAGAAGGGTGAAACGTTTCGTTTAGCAAAGTGTTAGGAAAATAGAAACATGTATTTCTGAAATATTCTTTCCCCCTAAATTTATTTTTCTATGTTGAAATCACGATGTTATATAAATTTCATTTCTTAGATCCTTATATTAAGATTGTTTATAAAGACTGCATTAGACTATACTTAGGGAAATGCTAACTCAACTGAAATGTATTTTCCTGTTTTACAAATGAGTTCATTATAACGAACACAATATTAGCGAAATGCTGAATAATCCAGGGGCCTCAATGCAACACACTTACGTTCCTGCCTTACCAAGGTCATCAAAGTCCCTGTGCCATCAATGAATTTGTCAGTAGCTTCCATCATCTAAAAATAAGTTTTACCAAATTAAAAAAAAAAAAAAACGCTCTTGGGTACTAAATTAGCTTTCAGACTTTTTGTAAATTTCAAAGTTGAAAAATCCACTCTGAATAAAATCAACTGAGACTCAACATAAACTTAAATGGAATTGTTTTACTTTACAGCCAATGAAATTCCAGATAATCAGGGAAAAGAATTTATCATTGGATTTATGGAGGCTGACGAGGCCTGGGTAGGAAATTTTTCAGAAAGCCCATTGAAGCTGTTCATTACGACTGCGTCTGAAAAACCTGTGAATGTCAATGTTTCTGCTCCAATGTCGAAGGCCCTCTACCAAGGTGACCGGTTCATCATTAAAAAGGGGACTATAAAACAGATATCGATTCCTAAGTCTCTAAGATTACGGGGAACAAAGCGTGCAAAGAAAGCAATTCACATTGTCTCGTCCGATGAAATTGTTATTTTTGGAATAAATCAAGCGAAGTTTTCTACCGATGGGTTTCTTGGAATACCTTTGGATGTTTTGGGAACTAAGTATTTTGTTCCATCTTTCTTTTCAACTGCTCAAAATTTTTTCCAGTCGGCCATTGTTATAGTAGGGACACAAGACAACACCAAGTTGAACATCAAACTTCCCATGACACACAAATTAAACATACGCCTTGAAGGAAAGCGTTACAGTCAGGGTGAATGGATTAACATAACAATAAATAAATTTGATACATTACAGCTTCTTTGCCACGGTGATTTAACAGGGACCCTTGTTTTATCTTCGCAAAAAGTATCTGTTTTCGGAGGATCTACTGTAACGTCAATCGGAGTAGGATTTTCTCGCGATCACATTGAAGAACAAATACCACCTGTAAATGTTTGGGGAAAAAAGTTTGCAGTTAATCCATTTCCCGATACAAATCCAAACACTCTTCGATTTTTAGCCAGTGAAGATAACACTACAGTCAACATTGATAATAAGAAAAATGTTCATATCATGGAAGGGAATTTTCATGAGACACATGTGGATCGTTTTGTGTTTATTTCTTCCGACAAGCCAATTTTGTCTGTTCAGTATGTTCCGAGTGGAACATGTATAGATTTTTTTCCATTACCAGGTTGCCATAAAGGCGACCCAGCTATGGCTTTAATTCCCCCAACAGAACAAAGTAACATACTCTACTCGTTTTTAACACCAGTTTCATCTCTGAATTTAAACTTTAATAACATATTCATGTTTATTATAGAAGATTCTCAGGAAAACGGAATATTACTTGACAACAAAGCTATCAAAAGAAGCGACTTCCACAGTGTAGTACACAGGCACAATCTAACGGCTGGATATATACAGATACCACCCGGTAGTCATATCATAGAACATTCTTCAGAAACATTGCCCTTTAGTGGGATACTTTATGGTGGTATTCAGTATGAGTCATATGCGTTCCCAGTTGGTCAAAGGTTTGCCACGATAAATAAGGTATACTTCCCATTTGTAATTTAAATTGTTCTGCTCGAAATGACAGAATATGTAACATGCAATGACTTGTAAAAAATATAATCTTTTAATTTTCAGAAACAAAAAAGTGATGACGATTTGAGTCATAAAAATTGAAGGAAATGCATTTTAAAGTATAAACGGCAAAATTAAAGTTTCTTCCTATTAATTTTTCTTAATTTTTTACGATAGCTTAGTCGGCTTGCTTGTAGGTTTAAGCAAAGACCGCGACAGAAATAAACAAAAAAGTGTTAACTGTTCCTTCGCTAAGCGCTCTGCACTACGGAGTGAAAGTTTCGGGTCTTTCAGATGGCCTCAAAAATCGAGGCCTCATCTCACGGCAGGCGTTGGCACGATTAAGAACCATCATGGCTTAATGGCCCAAAGTGCTGAGTAAAGGTCTAAATATGACTCCCTTCGATGGTATCTGGTGATGTCTCATATGAATGATATAATCTTGCAAGGACACGTCAAATTTTAAAAATATCAATCATTTAATCAATTTTTCTTCTCTGAAGTTATCAAAGAAATTTTGATGAATTTTGCCGTTGCATAATGTTTCGTTTGTTTTGAAAGCCCCAGAAAAGGCTCTAATGAGTAGGAAGGCTGACAGTACTTAGAGTACATGCAAAGCATTATTGGATCTCTTTCTTTACTACTTTCCTATTAATTTTTTTTAGAAAGAATGTATCCCTAGTGCGATGGATATTGGAGATGGTGTAGACAACGATTGCGATGGACAAGTAGATGAGGAGATTTGTAATGATCTGAAAGGTAAATAAGTCACTTCCTTACGTTTGAAATAATCTCAATTGTAGAAAAAAGCTCGTCTTAACATAGATATTTAAATATATTCACTGCCAATATCCGTTACGGTAGCTCAGTCGGTCGCTCCGTGATCGGAAGGTTGTGTGTTCGAATCACGGCCGCGACTGACCTGAGTCGATAAAAAATAGGTAGCAACTGTTCTTTCGCCAAGCGCTTGGCAATTTGAAATAATTTGCGGGTCCTTCGGATGAGACCTTATAAACCGAAGCCCCATGTCACGGCAGGCGTTGGCACGATAAAAATCCCTAACTTCTCAAAGGCCCTGAGTGCCGAGTAAAGGTCTAAATTTGAAGCCCTTCACCGGTATATGGTGACGTCATTATAAGAGTGAAAAAATTTCGAATGGGGTATAAAACAACATACAATAAATCAATCAATCACTGCCAATATATTTGGTTTTATTCCGTCATGGCCCTAATGCTTGATGGCAATTTAATACAGTTATATAAATGAAAGCATTCCTGACACTAGAAGAATGAGATGCACCATAGCTTTTATTTGTATTTTAGATTAAGAACAAGGTATGGGTTCAATACAAATCTTGTCCTGTGTTTTTCTTAAAAAATGAAAATGATGTAAAAAATTAAAACTCATGCTTTCTGAATTATTGAAATTCCATGCAGAAAGATGATACAGAGCATTTTTCTCACACAACATTCTAAATGATAATTGTGACGTCATAAACATGTGTGTTTTCCCGTATTTTCTTAAAAAGTTGCAGAAGAATTTTCTTTTAGATAATATTGTCCACAGTCATCGCCCACGAAGATTTTGAGATATGTGATTTTTCAAAGAATTTTACACAACATATCCGAAAATTAAAGTGGATGATGGCTGTGGACACTATTTTCTTAAGGAAAATAACCCTTGAAATGGGTCATTTTGAGTCTTTTTATGTTTAAAATAGAGAAATGCATCAAACTAATGACATCATATTTCCAGAATGGTACTCCTTCATGCCGTATTCTTTCCTGATTTATCACAGTCATATACTCAATCAATATTTGAGCCAGTTTCAAAACTTTTTGAACGCATTAAATTTTTAGGGCACAATAAAGCTAAAACCATACCTTCTTCTTTGATCACTGACCCGACTTTCCTTAAATGAATTTTAGCATTTTTTAGAATGCAATATTAAAGACTTCTATTTCAGATAATGATAAAGACGGACAAAAAGATGAAGATTGTTTAAGAAGATTAAGTAAGTGTAATACTGTCGCTATTTATGTGCAACTTATTCGAATACTTGAAATATTGAACTTTTATACAAAATTTTTTATTTTTACTTTAAAAAATTACCCCTATCAGTCTTTAATTTGCTCATTCTTTAAATACATACTAGCTGTAGTTTGGAGAAAAAATCATGATTGATAACTGATGAAACGCTCATGAAAATTAACATAACTGTTATGCTTTTCTTTTTGTTTACTGCTATCAAATGCTTAATTTACCTTTTCTGAGTTCGCCTGTGAAATCTACGTCAACAAGACTTACAACCGCTCTTTTTTCAGCCAGAGATTTCCAAACTGGTTTTGTTATTGATTGTATCTTATCGGCAATGAATTTTCTTCAATTTTGTAAACTTAATTCCATAAAACAGTAAAAATGATTTTTTTAATTTTTATTTTTTAAGTTTTTTTTTGAAAATTGAAGTCAAAGTATGAGAGAGAGAGAGAGAGAAAGAGAGAGAGAGAGAGCATACAAGAAAAAGTAAATCTTCTTTGTATTTTTGTATTTTAATATCTTTTTTTTCAATTGAAAAATGTACTATCGGAGGAAAGTATGTGAATTTTTTTTTTTTTTTTTTTTTTAGAAAAAGATCATAAAAGAGGTCTTAAAGTCAAATCTAATTTCAATCGTTTTAAGGTACGACAAGGCAAACCACCCCAACGACAACTATGACTACACAAGTACCATCAACTACATCGGCATCAAAGTCAACAACAGCAAGTATAAAAATTACAACATCGACAACAACTGGTGCAACGACATTAATGCAAATAGTTACAGTCTCAAAAGAATCAACAGCAAAATATTCTTCTAAGGCAGCTACAGCAACAACATCGGCATCGAAAAAAATAACAACGATACCAACAACTCCAAAATCAACAGCAACTTTAACAATTAAACCATCGATAACAAAAGATACAACTACAAACAACTTTCTACCAGTTGTTACAATATCAAAGACAACAACATTAACATCTTCAACAATGAAAAGTACAGCACCATCAGCTATACCGATGTCAAAACCGACAACTTTTACAAATTTGTCGACAACTGATATAGCTACGTTCGTTCCAGTACACATAACAGAAATACTCTCTACTGAGACAAGTAAAACAATATCCAATACGAAATCAAATATACCGAATACGAAATCAACAGTAATTACAACAAAAAATTTGACCACAAGTATAACTACACCATTGGCAATAGATACAACATCAAATACAGCTACAGAAATTCCTTATTCTAAGGCAACTTTACCAACAACATCGAAAAGTACAATATTGATTTCAACAATGACACCGGTACAAACTACGACAACAACACTGACATCACCAGTTACAAGCTTGAGTCCAATACGCATAGGTAAGTTTAAAATAAACTTGATTATAGAAAAAAAAAACCCAGATCACTGCTTATACTTACTTTCTCCTTCGAATAGAGCGAGGATTTAGGGTTGAAAAATTAACGTAAATAACTTTTCAATGCTAATAAACACTTGAAAAAAAAATCATTAAAAAGATTTTGAAAACTTAATATACATGCCCAAATACAATAGATTTGAAAATTCATGAATCTTATAGAATTTAAAGCCATGGTAAACTTCTAAACCTATATCAACCTTGCTTTCATGTCTCTTCCACAATGTTCTGGGATTAAATCAGTCTTCCCTGTTTCTGTTCTTTTCGAGATCATGAGATTTTTTCTATGCTATAAAACAAAAGTACTGCAACTGAGTTATTATTGATATTGGTTAATGTTTATTGTTAGTAACATTTCAATTTCGAATCATTATTATTGGTCGATACTTTACACCACTTAGATTGTAAAAGTTTGATTGAATTAAAATTAAAAATAGTTCCTTCCTTTTAAATAATGTTTGTTTTATCAGAGTAGATCTGCGTTGTATTTCAATTTGTTTAAAAGGTTCCTTTTTTATTCTTAACACATTATATCTTTATACAATTATAACCGCACATTACATTTACATAACGTAAATGTACATTTATTAATGCAATTGTACAGATTGTTTAATTTAGCTTGCCATGTATTAATTATTTTAACAGAAGACACACAGAATATGATTAAGGACCCACAACATCCACCATGGCTTTCCTTCACAGAGTATGTAATAATTGGTGGCGTAACTTTAGTTGTAATTGGAACTCTCGGAGTGTGCTGTAAGAAATGTCTAGGTCTGTTGGCAAAACGCGACGACGACGAAGATGATGAAGAAGAATACAGACGAAAAATGTACAAGAAAGCTAGAAGGGCGTTTGGGGCTCCTGCTATCAGACCAGTGTAGATCGATTTTCGAAAGACATGAGCTGTGGCTATCAAATGAAGATGTCAATTAATTATCCTTGTTCCAAAATCAATCTTAGGAATAAATAATCATACAAATACTTCAATTTTACAAGATTGTCATTTTTGTCACTTTAAAGCTTATTAACATACAAGTCCTATGTTTGACTGAAAGTAAAAAAAAATTAAATTTGATAATGATGGAAAGAGGGGTGTCAATATACATTAGATTTTTCAAGGTATACCCTAGAATCAAGAAAATTTATGATATTTCATTGGGTACGGAAATTTTGTTAATATCATTAATGAGTAAATGACATTTACCTACAATAATGAATAAAGAAGTATATGCTTGAAAGATATGATTTATGCGTAAAATAATGGTTACATTATCTCAACATAAGTGGGACCATTCATTAAAGTGAATAGATACACATGCAAATTTTATTTTGTGTAATTGTTAGACTAGGTTTGTCGACATAAATTGCATGTTATAATACATTTAGTTGGAATCAATTGATTTTTTCTACACATAGTAGCAGATTGAAAGGGGGCTGGAAAAAATAGTTATATAATTAGCTTATAAAAGTGTATTAATACGAGTCAGTAACTTAATTAGTGGACAAAATAGCACAAGAAAACCCATATATGTATTTGTTTTCGTTATTTTATTCGCCTGCTTTTTGAATTCAAAATATTAATATTTTGTTATTTAACGCCCCTTATTGGAAATCCTGGAGCCAGCTATGGCAAGGGAATTGTTTTTGTCCTTTTTTTGACAGTTTGATTTTTTTTTTAATAAACATGCATCTTTTTATGTTCCTTAGTTCGTATAACCTTGCCAAGGAGACTGAGCTCGATTTTGCCCAAATCAGGCGAAATAAGAACACTTGTATAAGAATAAATAATGTAATTTATTTAGTAAATAGTGAGAAGATATATACAAAACAGGGTGTCATTCATAAAAATAAAAAAAAAATTACTATTATGATAATACATGTGGTGCTGAATGCAATCATGACCCCCTAATATACACGCGTTACGCATCTAAAAAATAAATATCTATACACAAGAACACCGAATAGGGGACCAAAAAAACTAGAGAGATTATGCAACACATGTACAAAATACACGACAGACCCCCTACCGTAAACACGTATGAAAAAAAGTAGAATTTTAAAAATGCCTGTCCACAATAAAGGTAGGTAGCCACAAAATCTTAGGCTAAGCAAAAACTTAACCCAAAATATACTGTAAAAACATCATGTAAAAATAGCGGCATCAAAAAACTGCATGTCCACAAAAAGATTGGGAGCCAAAAAACCTTTGGCCAAAAAAAAAATTAGGCCAAAAAATACTATAACAAACAATTATCTTTGGAAGTAGATGGAGTATATTTCACTGCTCAGCAATAATGTGGCTTCTCATCCAAAACAAACAGATTGAAATATATATGTTATTAAATAAATATATATTAAAAAATCATAAAGAGATTTAAAATGTGATGGATTCATTATAAATCAATGCCCTTTGTACTGTTTTTCATTTTGAAACTACAAAATGTTGTTTAAAACTTCTTAAAAAACCTTATTTTCAACAATCTCGATCTAATGACCACGATTTTTATCACGCTTAGGGAGAATCAGAGAGGTGATTCCATGTTCCATTTTTCTAGCTGATATCAGATGCTTGCAGAATAAACCCTCTAAGCCACGATTTTATTTTTAAGCAATGTTTTGATCTTTGTAATAAGTAACTCCCATATTATTTGATAGTAAATAATTTAAATGGCAATGATGTCTTATCATTCATGACATGATTACGGGAAATTATTATTACTTTATTGTGTATTTAACTATCTTTGAGGTCCTTTACAAAATCAAAGGGATGCGAACAAGAACATAGTAATTTTCATTTCTTTTCGATATCAGTTGATGTTTATCATGCTTTAAATTTGATATAGAAACCAAACTTAACTTTTACTATGTGTACTTGCCAAACCACACAAATTACTCAAAATAACGCAACAACTATAGCTTGTTACTGTGACAACAGCAATGAAACACATGAATATAACGAACATTATTCAAGCTCCAAAGTCCTTTAAACAATACAAAATAGGAGCAGAGCAAACACGGACCTCCAAAACATCAGAGGTGGGATCAGGTGCCATGGAGGAGTGAGCATCCCTTGCCGACCGGTCACACCCGCCGTGTGCTCCTTGTCATGATCAGGAAATAACGGAAAAATCCGTCGACAATTCAGTGTGTAAATAATCAGGCGCTTAGCTGCCTATACGCAAATACGCAAGTGCGTACACGTCATTTTCAGAAAAAAAAAAAGAAAAGAAAAAAAAAATAAGAAAAAAAGAGAGAGAATTACTCGGAGAAAAAAACCTCAGTACCATCCAACAAATATTCGTGTTTCAAATTATTCTGTGTCATACTGTGTCGATTTAAATTTTAAATTATCATGCTGTATGATAAAATTTTTATTTAATAACTGACAAATCCAAATAAATCATTCATTATTTTGTCATTGTTCTATCATACATTGATAATTTTATTTTAAAGATCTTTGAAAAATTAAATTTCAGCCACATCGTTGAATACTATGGTCTACTAGTATGATTTACAATACGATATTTTTTTGTTTATAATTAAAATTTTGTTTTTAAACGTTAAGAATGATTATATGATACCAATTAATATATCGGTTAAATTTTTAGCCTCAATTAAATGTACAATAAGTTTCCATGGAATATTAATTTTCGTTAAAACAATAAATATTAAATTACTATGTCTTTTATTTCCTAAACAAAAACTAAATGGCATAATGTTTATATTTTAAGAAAAAGAATGAAATATTTGGTAAAACTCCGGAGCTTCTGTGCCCTCACCAGCAGGCACGTAGTATCAGGGGAGCCTCCCCACTACTTATTCCCAAAACCTTACCTTTTACTATTGAATGATTGATTGTATATTGTTTTACGTCCCATTCGAGAATTTTTCATTCATATAGAGACGTCACCATATACCGGTGAAGGGCTTCAAATTTTGACCTTTACTCGGCACTCAGGGCCATTGAGCAGTGAGGGATCTTTATCGTGCCAACGCCTGCCGTGACACGGGGCTCGTCAGGTATCGTCCTAAAGACCGAAAGACCCGCAACTTTCACTTCAAAGTGCCGAGCGCATGGTGAAGGAACAGTTGCTACCTATTTTTTTTATCGACTTAGGTCTGTCGCGGCCGAGATTCGAACTCACGACCTCCTGATCACGGAGCGAGCGCTCTACCGACTTTTTACTATTGAAAAAATGTACATTGAAAGGGTGGACCCCCACTGTTTGTTGCACCATTGTTAAATCATGTTAATTTAGTAATGTATTAATAAAAATTTGGTTTGTGAAAGATGGACACCCCCCCTCAACACCCCCCCCCCCCCCACACACACACACAAGAAATAGGATTTCGAATTTTGACAATCTTCCTTTTTCGTCCTTGCTTGACAAAATTTTTTAAGTTGTAATTTTTTCCTGGCTGGCAAAAGCTATATTACGTGCCTGACCAGAGCCCTTAAACACTGCCGGGGGGGGGGGGGGGCTCAAGACCCCCCATCCAACCCCTACCGTTCTCTGCGTACACATCATTTCTATTCTGGCTGATAATGGCCTAACAATTAGTATGAAAAACGTCAGTCAGCATTTGACTCAATGATAAATTGTATTTGCTGACAAGGTCATTGTATCGGCCATAGAACTTACGAAATGATGACTTTAAACGAGACTGCTGATATTCTTGTTTCATCAACTTGTTTGTCAATAATTTACCTCGTTTTAGAAATTGTACATACGTAGTGCATGCTCTTGCGTATTGAATCAACTGAGAGAAATAAATAATGCCTTTAATTACCTGTACTTAATCAAAATAATTTTCCTCCATCGATAATGTTAATCTTCTGCAGATCGAATAAAGCATTAATTATCTACAAGAGAAAAAAGAAGTTTCATTGGACCATGATTCTAGTATAAAGAACTTTTTTACAATGTTATATCAGACTTTGTAAGGTTTACAGAGGAATGGTTAGCAATCTTAAGACTGCTGGACTTTGCCCAGAAGAAATAATTTAAAAACATCCTCTTCTTACGCCGCTGTATAGAACATATGTACCGCTTTTTTAGCCATTTAGAGTTCAGAATAATGATTTGCATAAATTTTGGAATCTCTATTTGACATACTTGCATAGCTGATTAAATTGGGAAGATGAATTATGAGTGGAACAACGTTATTTTTTTTTAGCAACAGTAATTAATTTTTTTTAATTCAGTGTTGAGTCCGGAAAAATAACAAAATAGTTTCTGAAAAAGGGCAGCCTCCTCCTAAATCTTTATTCCTGTTTAGAAAAATGTTAACTGGCTCCTCATAATCGACCTTTGCTCCATTTCCATTAAATATTAGAAAGGTATTACTGAGCGCGTTCTTAATGTAGCAATATTTTTTAAAGTCAAAAGTCAACAACTTTTTCGCCATACTTTGAGAACGGAATACAAAACATAGAATAGGCAATGTAAAGTGATGAAAAGAAATTGTAAAGAACACATGAAATATGACAAATAAATAACACTTTAGTACGACTGCAAAATGGCAGCTGTGTTAAATTTTATAAATCAAATTGCGACGATGGAGGAACAATGATAAAGTAAAGAAATGGATTCTCCAATGAGTTAAGGCCTTTGTTTGCAATTAAAATATTAAGAAACAACTACAACACCGTGGACACCTCAATTATAAAAAATCTAGGAATTACAGAATTGTACGGATTTCTAAATTTAGATTTTTATCACAACATAATCAAACTTACGTTAACAAAAATGTTTTTAAAGGGAATAAAATTAATTAATTTATACTTAGATTCTGAGCAACATAAAATGAAATATTCAAATTTTAACCTGTTCATAACATAAAATCATTTATTCGTTATGAATGGAGAGAATGTGTGACTCTGGATAAAAGACCTCAAATATCTTCTGTTGATGTCACAATTTACTGTGTAAAATTATCAAGAAACTGCTGGGGGTAATATACACAATACAAACACAGTTGAACGAAAAATTGACAAGCTATTACAGTACAAAGATTTAAGGTAGTCCAGAAAATAGTTTATATCCACGTTTTGTTCATCATCCTAAAATCTAATATCATCTAAATCAATATGTGTTAATGGTTTTCATCCTTTTATTTTTTAATTATATTTTTATTCATTTATTTATTTATCTATTGCGTTCACTGTTATTGTGTGTAATGTTTCTTTAAGAATCTATGTAAATTTTCAGATTTTACTGAACTTGAGGGTTGATTCAAACATTTTTAAATTCATGACGTCAAGCCTCTGATGGGGGCTCAGCAGGGTACCAAAGGATTTACAAGTAATTTATTGAACTCCTAGGGAACACCAAAACTGGGTTAAGCCATATTGATACGCAATCTTCGTTGCAAAATTTACATCGACAATGCTGATATCACTCATTTGCAATAGCCTTTGGACGTATCATGGAAGTCTAATTAATATTCAACGAAGGAACGTTATGAACCAAAAATATATTTTCTGCATTTCTGCATTTTTTGGAATGCAGCTGAGGCTCCTTTCTAAATTTATCGCCATAGTACCAACAAAATTTATCATACACCATAGACAAGTGTTCTTGGGGTTTTTTGTCATAAAAAAGAGGAGAAGAACATGAGATGATTTTGCCTAATTTTTCACTTTTCCCCTGCAAGGTTTCCTTATCCAAAAATACTTTTTGCCGAGTTGTTGACATAAGTGCTGTAATTCAAAGGATACTAATAAGTACATATATAAGTTAAAAAAGCTTCAAGACTCTGTATTAAGTTTTAAGCTTCCTCATGTGATCTGAATTGCTAATTATCACAATATATTTTTTTATACATTACACGATGAACAGGAAACCCATTGGTTGCCAATTATATCAATACTATTAACCAGAGACCCGTTTTAGAAAATAACTTAAGACTAAGACCAAAAGTTGTAGTTGGTTGTAAATCTTGCAAAATTAATGTTTCCGTTAAAAACTGCTGGCATAAAAATATCGCTCTTAAAAAAATAAAAACTATTTTCAAATCAATATAAAAAAGAAAGTTATTCACAAAATTACATTTTGGTTTTAGTCCTAAGTTCTTTTATAAAATGGGGCCCAGGAATTTTGTTATTTCAAGCAAAAGTACAAGTCATCCAGAACCGACCCCAACGGTACAATTTCAGAATTGAAAGCAGAGTTATTATAATTGTAAAAATTTTTGCAAAATTACAAAACTTTCAGAAATTTATCTATCTTTGTTTCCATGGTAACAGCAATTTTGAAAAAAAAAAACTTTGGGAGACACTTACATATTAATGTAACTATGGAATGAATTTAATAGTTACTGGGTTGGGGCAGTTTACGCTTTATAAACCGCAAAGCGGTTTATAAAAAAAAGTGTAAACTGTTCCAACCCAGTTTATACCGTATAAACTGGGTAGCTATTAATTTCATTCCTCATAATTTTCATTCATTTAATGTAAGAAAAAATGTGATTTTCCTTAAAGAAAGACTTCAAACTGTACAAAATTTAAATGTAACGTCAGGCGGATCGATACGATTTTGACGCAAGTTATTGTTACGTAGGCAACCAAATTTATACAATATAAAGTAATTTTTTTATCCAATCAAATACAGCGTTATATCCAGAATTAAATTATTACGCAATGAAATATCCATAGACATTAAATTCAAATTAAAAAGAAAATCCACATGTTTGTTTCCAAATGTTTGTTTAACCTTTTCCATATTTTGTATAAATCCGTTTGATTCCAGAAAGAATTCCTTAATGTTTCAAAAGAATAGGCTTTGCAGTTACTTATAGATGATGATGATGATAATAATAATAATAAATAAAGTCGAATCAAAATGACCAAGTCTTTTTAAAAACAAAATACAGGTACATATACAGGTACCGTTGACCCTAACCAAGTTTATTTCTATAAAATAAAATATTCAATATTCCCGTATTTCATTTATTTTATCGAATTCTTCATTTCGTGACAAAATATGTCGCACAGACCACTACAGAGATAGTTTATCAGGTGTAATTTAGATAAGAGGCCGGGTCAATATTTGTAGGTTTTAAAGGGCGGTCAGTTTTTCAGTTTTTACCACATATGATTGACTTCTGAAAAAGTAATTAGAAGGAAAAAAAGTTTTTAAAATAACATTACTTTCTGGTATTTTTCCTGCAAACTAATAAAACTATGAAACTTGAATGTGAGAAAAAGCATTTACTAACACCCACTTCTTATGGATTATAATATATGTCTCCCTAACCGGGAAAAAGAAGTTCACAAAAATAACCATTTCAGAAAGAAAGTACAACAACTGAAAAGTAAAAAGAGGAATGCAAGACAAATGCATGAAAAATTTAGGCTATTATTATTCTGAAATTCCTGTACATACAAAAGAATATGATGTAGAAGGATGTAAAAAGGATATTGATACAGTTTTGTGGCACGGGACTGTACACCTAAAATTTAAGAAAAAAATGAAATAATTTGTGAACATAATAAATTTAAATTTGCATGGTTCCATCTGTTTTAATGATTTCTATACTGGTAAAATAAATTGCAAATCGAAAAGTAAAAGAGACTGCATTTTGCTTAATGACTTTTTGCAATATAATATATAGTTAACATTGAATGACCAAAAAGGAAAAAAAAGTATGAACAGATGTATGGTATTCTAGTATAAGAAAGTTCATTTTTTATCTTAATATTAAATGCGACATATGGAATAAGGATTTAGTATTGAACTGTTGGTAAGGTGATTGAAAATATTGACGATATATAGATAAAAATCTTACTGTGATGATTTATTATTTTTACTTTTATCTTAGTTACGCTGTGACTTGACCTTCTTACACGAATCATTGGGATAAAAAAAGCAAAACTAGTTTAATCTTCTTTATTTAAAACTTATAAAATTGGCTGAATTACCTTATTTCAGTTTATGTTGTACTAAATTCTAGGTTAGCATTGGAGAAAAAGTGATGGGGGTATATCATAATGAAGTTATTGAAAACCAATTTATGATATCAACCTTAACCAGGAACCTATATATTAAATTATTACGAGTATTTTAAAAGAAAATATTAATTCTAGAATGCTAATTCGCGTAAATTTCAATAGATATTATGCATTTGAATCTTGTATCGATATGTTACCCTCTTTCCTTAATATTCTTATGAAATATTTTTTTAGGTTGGAAGAATGAGGATTAAGAAGAAAAGGATATGTGAATTCTTATTGATAGCTTTGATAACATGTTCTGGTATGTATGCATAAAAGTTTATGAAATCCTATCAAGTAGAGTATTTAAAGAAATGCATAGAAAACATTATTTTTTCCCCCTTTTATTATATCATATTTTCAGAGTATAGGGTTCAGCACCTGCATAAAAGAATCTCTGTTTCAATGGGTAAAAAAGCAGATGGGCAAATATGACAGGGAAAATGGCCACAAAGCGACGATTGTGTTGATAAAAATATATCAAATTGCCAAGAACATGTCCACATAATATAAATTTTTATTGATCAGGACGTTGCATGCACTTTTCTTTAAAATTTCCATGGTCAACAGCCTTATAATAGAAAAAAAGTTCTCATACAGTGGGTCAACTCTCCATTTTTTTTTTTTAAATTGGGTTATTCTATTTTTTTTTATCATTTAAAAGCTTAAAAAAATGGAGTCAAGTCCCACTCTATTTAAAAAAATCTTTTCTTATGGGAAGTTCTTGTTCTTGCTTTTGTGCATGCTCTGAAAATTTCTAAGTCCACATACTGCACAACAATCTATTTTTTGATTTTGTCTTGAGAAAATTATTTTTAGCATGTACTTGTAGCTACCATACTTTGAACTTAATAAAGAAAGTAAAATATGGTCATCACCTTGTAGAACAGAGATCCGTCATTATATTTTAAGAAAAAAATACTTTAAATATATTGATAAAAAGTATGTGTGATCTCTGTTCTTTTCGTGAGACAAGAAAATAAATAAGATACTCTGACTGACTGTAATGCTCACAAAATGTTCTCAACATGTATTTGTCCGTGTGCGATTTCTATTTCCATAACACGCAGATACACGCACTTAATTCTAATATTATTTTTAACAAGCTACATCGAGAACACATTTGAAAGGTCTTTTATCATAACCTCTTTTTGTAAAATACAGACAGAAAAAGGGGTGAGCTCATTGATATATAATGCTGACTTGCAGGTAACTGAAGTGCACATTCTTCTTCCGACTTTGAAAAATCTTCAATGCGTATACAAGTACTCTGAGTTGTAATTATACTCGACAAGAATTTTTAAAAAAAGTTGTTTGATTTCCTTAGGCATTGAGATTCCGGATAATCAGGGAAAAGAATTCATTATTGGATTTATGGAAGCTGACCAAGCAGGGAAAGGACACTTTTCAAAGATGCCATTGCAACTGTTTATTACAACTGCATCTGAACTTCCCGTGAATGTTCAAGTACAGGCTCCAATGGTAAAGGACCTCTATCAAGGCGACAATTTTATGGTTAAAAAGGGAATTATAAAGCAGGTATCAATCCCAAAGTCCCTAAGATCACAGGAAACAGAGCGTGCAAAGAAAGCAATTCACGTTGTTGCTTCCGATGAAATTGTTGTTTTCGGAATAAATCAGGCACATTTGTCTACCGATGGATTTCTTGGAATACCTTTGGATGTTTTGGGAACTAAATATTTTGTTCCATCCTTTATTTCAACTGCTGAACATTTCTTTCAGTCGGCGATACTCATAGTCGGAACACAAGACAGGACCATGTTAAATATCAAACTGCCATTGAAAAATAACATTGATATTCAACTCGAAGGAAAAAGTTACAACCGTGGTGATTGGATAAACATTACAATTAATAAATTTGATACATTACAGCTTCGTTGCCACGCTGATTTAACAGGTACCCTTGTTTTATCTTCGCAAAAAGTATCCGTTTTCGGTGGATCGACTGTAACTTCCATCGGAGTTGGAATTTCACGGGATCACATCGAAGAACAAATACCACCTATAAATGTTTGGGGGAAAAGGTTTGCAGTAAATTCATTTCCCGATACAAATCCAAACATTCTCCGATTTTTGGCAAGTGAAGACGATACAACAGTCAACATCAATGATAAAGAAACTGTTCATATAATGGCTGGAAATTTTCATGAGACACATATAGATAGTTTCTCTTTTATAACTTCCAACAAGCCAATTTTATCTATACAGTATGTTCCCAGTGGAACATGTCATAGAGATGATCTTAAACCAGGTTGCCATAAAGGCGATCCAGCTATGACTTTAATCCCCCCAACAGAACAAAGCAACATGTTTTACTCGTTTCTAACTCCTGTCTCATCTCAGAATTCAAACTTTAGTAACATATTCATGTTTGTTATAGAAGATTCTCGCGAAAACGGAATATTGCTAGACAAAAGAGCTCTTAGAAGAAGTGAATTACACAGTGTGGTACGCAATCACAATCTTACAGCTGGTTATTTTCAAGTACCACCTGGCAGTCATACCATAGAACATTCTTTAAAAAATTTGCCCTTTGGAGGTGTACTATATGGTGGTATCAAGTATGAGTCGTATGCTTTTCCAGTTGGACAAAGATTTGCCACGATTAATAAGGTATGTCCCTTCGGTAATGAAATTGTACTGTGCTAAATGAAAGGAAGTAATCTTAAAACCATTAAAAAGAATTTCAATGCTACACAATTAATTGTGTGCTAAAAGCATCTTGATGATCGTTGGTTTAATGTAACCCATATAAACACTCCACACCTTTGGCATTTCTTTAGTATGGAAGCGTATTAGTGTCAAGGAATAATTTTTTTAAGTTGGTAATTCCAACTTAAAAGTTTGTAATTCCAACTTTAAAGTTGGCTTTTCCAGCTTTAATCTTGGTTTTTCCAACTTAAAAACTGATAATTTCAACTTTAATACTAATTTTTCCAACTCTAAACTAAAACAACATACAATAAATCAATCCAACTTTAAAGTTGGTAGTTACATTTTTGAAGTTTGTAATTCCACCTTTAATCTTGGCTTTTTCAACTTTCAAGTTGTCTTTTCCAACTTGAAAGCTGGTAATTCCAACTTTAAAGCTGGTAATTCCAACTTTAAGGAGGCTGGGGGGTCAACAAATTAACCACAAATTAAGCACCAGATTTAACTTAATTTTTTAGATATGATATCTTAAGCTGTCAACTATCATTTGGCAAAGAAAAATTTCAAAAAATTTAGTTTTAAAATTTGATCATTTTCTATATCTTCATATGGAGCTCTTCTTCTAAAGGAGATCAATATAGTCTAAAAATGGCCAAAACCCCCCAGCCTCTTTAAAGCTGGCATTTCCAACTTTTAAGTTGGCTTTTCCAAATTTATAATTGGTAATTTTAACTTAATTCTTGGCTTTTCCAACTTCAATTTGAGCATCTCAAATTTTTTCCTTAGCCTTTTTCCTTTAATTGATATTATTATCAAATTTATTAATGCAAACTTAATACACTGAAACAGATTGGTGAGGAATTAAACTGAGTAAATTATTGACCTTCCCAATGACCTAACATAAAGTTTTCGAAGCTCTTACATCTGTTCTTGGCCCATCTTATATAATTTTATAGAGGATAACTTCATACAACTCCGTAGATGAGAGCATTTCAATCATACCTTTTACATAGACCAGACATATATAAATTTATTGAGAATGAGTTTAACCAAATGAGACCATATTAGGTGTTTGATATAGAGGATGAATCAACACTATTTTTTATGATACAAAGATAAATGTACTAAATATATCGATTCTATATATTGAAAATTATTCCTTTTTTTCATCATAGTTTAAACAATGAAATGTTATCTTTGGTTGTTAGTACGAGAATTAATGTTGCAGCCGTTGCAGAAATTATGCGGGTTATGTATTTTTTTTTTCTGCAATAGCTACAACGTTAATTCCAGAACTAACAAACAAAGAAAAACATTTTATTATTTATATTTATATCTATATAAATAACCACATAAAGTAAAATTAAGTACGTTTAATATTGCATTATCGATATGTTTGTCATTGTTCGTTTCATTGATGGAAGAGCCGCTGCTCAAGAAATCTATACAGGTGGCTCGGTTAGTGGCGTTTACTGATTGATAAACGACCGTGGAAATAGGAAACAAGATTCACTGGATGTAAATATTTTTTAATTAAATTGTTTCTTTCGTTAGTAATTCTAAAACAGCAACAAAAGTATACTAAAAACGTAGTAAGCCATGCAAAGTTAGAAAAGCCAACTTTTAGTTGGAAAAACCAAAATAAAATAGGAAAATCTAACTTAAAGGTTGAAAAAACCAATTTAAAGTTGGAATTCAGACTTTTAAATCTGAAAAGCCAAGATTAAAGTTGGAATTACCAATTTTTAAGCTAGAATTTCCAACTTTAAATGTTGGAAGAGCCAAAAGTTGGAAAATACGCTTCCGTACTTAAAAGAATTATCAGTCATTTATTTTCAGTCAAATAGTAAACATTTAAGCACCTGTTTTTGTGCGTGCGTCGTCTATTCTCCTTTTGAACATTTTCATCTTCTCTGGAACGGTTGAATTAATTTCAATATGGTATTTAAAGGAGGACGAATTGTGATTTTATGCCTGAGAGGTTAAACCAAAAGCATAAAAATTAATACAATTTTCAAAAATCTCCTCTTTTTCTCATAAACATCTATAAGGCAAGCCGTTGGCCTGATTTTAAAAAGCAAAAGGCCTTTATCAAATTCGTGAAAGTCATTGCCCCTGGGTTGTGGATTCAGGGTGGGGCTAAATTAGTCGAATATTGAGAATGTATTACATGTTTATAATATAAAATTTTCTTCTTTAATAAGGGATATCAAGCAGGTAAACTGTTTGCACATTAACAATAATTATTTGACCTTTTACAAAAAATGTCAAATTCATAGGTCTTGGGTCCAGCGGTTAGGCCCCAAGTGAGAATAAAGTGACCGTATATTGAAAATACAACTGTAAATTGCATTTTTAAAAATCTTTTTTTCTTAAGGACATAGAGTGTGCAAACTGATTAATATATGACTTCAATCAGTACTCAATCCTTTACTAAAATTTTTCAAATTTTGTCATATGTGTAAAAAAATATATCTTTGAAAATCTTCTTTACATATGAATAAGTAGCAGGTAATCTGTATGTAATCAGGGTGGGAATAAGGTGTTTACATATTGAAAATACATAACATTTTTAAAAATCTTCTTTTCTGTAGGACACAAAGTAAGCAAACTGATTACATAATTAGAGTGACTATTTAATCCTCTGCCAAAACTTTCTACGTTTTACCTTTAAAAATAGTTATCGATATAACACAGAGAAATCATTTTACTTACACCTATCACTTTAACAAAATTATAAAACTCATTACCCTCTGGCCAATGGTTTAGGCCCCAGGCCTCGTTGTTGGGTCAATTAATGACCTTTGACCTTTGGGAAACTTCATACAGGTATGAAGATATTAACTCTCTGCATGTTCAAATAATAGAGAGATACCACAAATGTATACAATCGCAAATACATTTGGGAAACTTCATACAGGTATGAAGATATTAACTCTCTGCATGTTTAAATAATAGAGAGATACCACAAATGTATACAATCGCAAATACATTTGGGAAACTTCATGCAGGTATGAAGATATTAACTCTGCATGTTCAAATAAAAGAGAAATACCATAAATGTATACAATCGCAAATACACCAGAGAAACATTTTCTGGAGAATTTTGTTGTTGTGTTACAAATGTCTTTTATATAAAGGAAGTTTCACAAACGACTGAAATAAATAGAAAGGTTGACAATACGATGATTAAATACAAACAAAACGATGTACACCCACAATAATTGCATTTTTTTCTTTACTTCATCTCAATTTTACTTTTTCAGAAAGAATGTCGCCCTCTTGTGATGTACATTGGAGATGGTGTAGATAATGATTGCGATGGACAAGTAGATGAGGAGATTTGTAATGATCTACAAGGTAAATTGTTTAAGATAGGAATATTAAAATAGACTCAAACGTAAAATGTAGCCTCTTCTTGACAAAGATATATTGAATTTATATTCACTGCAGATATGTGCCGTCTTCATAATTCAGTCCTAGCCCTAATGGTTAATTACAAATGTCAAACATATTTAATCAAAGGATAACAGATATAAGAATGCGACGCAGCATTTCATTGCTTTAACATATATCAATGTAAAACTAGGAATTTTGATCCTAGAAGGGGGTGGGGGTTTAATTAGTTTGTTTTCATATCCCTCCTTCTTAAACGATACACAAATTGAAAGAAAATAATGTTTGGTACCAGTAAGATAAAAAAAAAAAGATTTTTGTATTTTTAACTTAATCAAAGTCAGTTGTATGTTTTTCTTTCAAAAGATATTATCCTTTTTGTTAATTGTAAAAGGGATTTCAATTACAGATAATGATATGGACGGACAAACAGATGAAGATTGTTTAAAAGCTCTTAGTAAGTTTGATAAAACTGTAAATCGAATCATATGTGTGCAATTAGATGGCTTTCCTTCAGTCAGTCAACATTTCATCAAGTTATCAAATTTGAAACTCTTTTGAAACGAAAACATAGTTCAGTTTCTGTTTTAAGATATTTAAACTCTGAACCAGGGATCGGAAATAATTTCTGACATACATACACTGAACAAATATCGGGACAAAATGCATAATTAATTTTAAAAGGTAAATATCAAATATATACGGTATAAGAATATGATAATGGAAAAGATAAATGGAAACACTTATATAAAATTCACCAAAACATGAGAAAACCTTCTTCTTCTACAGTTTCTGAAAGCACACTTCCATGCCCATTCTTTTTAAATTCGATTAGATTTTTTAATATTGTATTTTTTATTATTTGCGCACAAAATTAATTATTCTTGATCTGCCTTTCCAAAAAAAGAATACATGCATATAGGAAATGAAATATGGAGATAACAAATAATATTCAAACTCAAAAGTCCATTGAAACGATACAAATCAGGAGCAGAGCAAAAACACAGTCCTCTGAAAAACAGAGGTGGGATCATGTGCCATGGAGGAGTGAGCATCCCCTGTCGACCGGTCACACCCGCCGTGTACTCCTTGCCATGATAGGGAAAAACGGACAAATCCGTAGACAATTCTTTGTGTAAATAATGACCTAACTTTTAGAATGAAAACCGTCAGTCAGCGACTTAATGATAGGTTGTATTTGCTGACAAGGTCATTGTATCGACTATAAAACTTGCAAAATTATTTTGTTAATAAGCTTGTGCTTCTACACAGGTACTCTGAAGTTGATATTAAAAAGATGCTCGAGTTTCTAATTGACAATATTTATGTACCATTTCGGAGATCAGGCTCCATGATCATGAAACAAACTTAGACTTGTCAAAATTGCAAACATCTGAAAGATAGCTAATAATCGTCAGCTGAGAGTCTTAATTTACAGACAATAGGGATTTGATGACGCAGTGTTGATTTTTTTTTGACTGTTTGACTTCAAAAACATTTCAGCACAATAAACAGATTTTCACTTAAGCTTAAAATATTTCATGATTCCTGGGGCCAGGTCTTCCAACAAACTGTTGGAATTCCAATGGGTACCAACTGTGCCCCGTTATTAGCAGACCTATTTATGTATTCATATGAAGCACAATTTATTCAGAACTTTTGTACAGGTATATATGATTGTGAAAAGAATACAGTTACTTGAAAGAAAAGAGAATATCAGCATTGTCTTCTATTATGTAGATAAGTAAACTATCGGACCTTCACTCATACGTGTACATACATGAAGGAGGCATTGTACAGTGTTACCTCGGTATATTGCCCTCCGTTATATTGCCACCCTCGCTTATTGCCAGGAATTCTCGAAGAACGGATTTCACCTTGTGTTAATACACCCGTTATATTGCCACCCCCGCTTATTGCCATCCGCCACTGGAGGTCAAATTATGTAAGGAAAACCCTCGGTAACAATGCCAATTATCTATAGCGCGTGTCGGTAATTTGGACACCACACCCGTGCTTTGACAGTGGTTGCGTGAAGCGTGACTGCCTGGACAAGGAATTCAGCTAAATTAAAAATATTCGTTGTATTAAACTCAAAATTAGCAATGTCTTTGGCGTGTGTTTTTAAGATAGAAGAATTATTTCATCACAGAAATGAAACGTCAGGCGAGAGAAAGCGTACAAATTTAGATTACGAAAAATAAAAAGATTGATCAACAATCGATCTATTTGATCGTAAATGGCCGATTATTGCTTATATTGGATAATGCACAAAACCATAATAAATGCAAAAATTCATTTGTGTCCCCTTAGATTAAGAAGCTATTCTATCGATCAAAAAGGAAACCCCATATCTATTTTTAGACTACCATAATTCCGCACGTGAAAATATTAAGGATTCCGCTAGCCCTGAAATTTTCTTTAATTGTCGGGCATTATTTGATTGATAAATATCAAAACAGAATCGGAAGAGTACACAGGTACTAGCAAACATGAAAATACATGTTTAATATAACGGGTTGACGTATTCTGACATGTGACTTACCATTCGTCAGTCATGATGCATTACCAACCGAACTTTTTAACTTATTCAGAAATTTTTGAGACGGTGAAATAATCTACTTTCGATTCAGATGAAATTAATGATAATTCTCAAAAACTTTTTTATACCAAGAGGCCATAACGGCCACAGACATTTTTGGCATCAATTCTTAGAGCATGACGAAAGGAAATTGATACGTTCAATATTCTGATATTTTATTTCTTTTTAGTCAAAATATTGTAAAAAATAAATAAATAAATAAATAAATAAATAAATAAATAAAAAATAATAGTGACTTTTTTCCAACTGCCCTTACACACATGTGACATAAATAGAGTGTAACTGAAATAAATTACGTAATCTATTTATTTTGTTTTGATAACCCACTGAATTGTAATTTATAGCAGAATTCGTTATATTGCCACCCTCGCTTTAATGCCAAAATCTGTCTTGGACAAAAGTTGGCAATATATCGAGGTATCACTGTATAGTCGATTTATCTTTTTTCTTATTGTACATTAACTTGCAACGAGTGATTAAACAGAATGTAAGAAATATGGATGGAAAAAGATGTAAGGCGACTACTTACTTAAAAACAAAATTTTCAAAACTTTGACATTCTTGATATTTCAGAAAAAAGAAGAAAATATCCACCTTAAATTGTTAATAGATTGCGTTTGATGAAATATTTATGAAAACAAGGACAAATGTTATATATTTCCGTTCTTCTGAACATCGAAACATTAAACTAACTTGTGTCTGTCTGTCAGTTAATCCGTAAAGCTGTTCTCCCTCATTCAGTCTATCAGTCCCTTCTCAATCCGTCTGTTCTATATATTCTTCAACCACATTTTTTATTCAGTTTATGTCACTCTTTCGTCAAATAGTTACATTTAAATAACATTCCCTAGGTATTTTCCATATAAAGTGTGTCGAAAGCTTCGACATTTAAAGCACCATAACATGGACGGGGAGGTCAAAAGGTATAAGTAATGATTTTACTTTAAGGACCCTCTTTAAACTAATGAAAATGTTTTACTGACATTGAGAAAAAATGTTTCATATAAAGTTGTCAATACTTAGTCTATGTATTTAATTTTCAATATATGAAACCTGCCATTTACACCCAGGAAAAAATGTTCAAAGACAACACAGTATTGATGAACACAAATCATTGTTGCCTATTTAAATGGGGAATATATATGTTAATAAATTGTTCAATTAATTTACTTTGGCCTTACAAAATGTTAGATAAGCTCGAATTGTTTACAATAAGAGTAAAATGCTGATGATTTTAATTTATTTAGTTTTAGATTAAATGGCAGTAACGGCTATTTACCGTCAGCTTAGCCATATCAATTGCAATGTGTATCATTTAGACAGGCATACCGTTTTCAAAGCAGGGGTACTTTATCAATCTACAATGTACCATGACATTAATAAATGTTACTAAAGTATTGAATTCTTAATCCTGGACGTTCATCGTGTCATAAAACGGACGGTTGTGCAGAACAAATTTTCATAACGCTCTAAGGCATGTGATTCGATTTGTTAGCTCAGCCGTCCGTGTTATGACAAAATTTACAATTCAATGCTATAGGATTGGTTTAAAGATGAATCTTTTATCAATCTTTTTAAGGTACAACAACAAAATCCACACCATCGACAACAACTCCCCCGAGAACAACACCGACACCAACATCAACTACAACATTTAAGTCATCAACATCAACAGAAACTGATCCATCAGTGCCTTCAAAGACAACGACAAAAACGCCTTCGCCTACGGCAACTACAACAACAGCATCAAACACGACGTCAACAGTAACACCGATAACAACAATTAAAACAACACTTAAACCAGTAGTTACAACTTTGAGTTCAATACTTCAACGTGAGTTCAGAGAAAACTTGATTTCGTTATAAATCAGATCCCTGATACATATTTACTTCATCCTCAAGGATTGAAAAGGATCAACCATCCGCAAAAGGATTCGATATTCTGGTCCTCTGTTAAACAATCTGGGTTTTGAAAAAAAAATCTTTATAAATACAAGAATCTCCGAATGTGTCCAGTCCTTAATTAGCTTTACTTTTGTGTCTCTGACTCAAAGTTTTAGGATGAATTAGTCATCCCTATTTCTCTTCTTTTCGAAATCGTGAAGTGTCATTTCTATGCTTGAAGCTACTGCAATTGAGCTTTTTTGCGTATTTTTATTATTACGTTTCAATTAGTTTTTGTTTGAAAGAAATTACATCCTTCAAATTTAAAATTGAAATAGATTAAGCTGTAAGGATCCGTACTATCCGTGCCTGATAACTTAAGATTTTTCCTGTTATTTGACTGGTAGAGTAAATTTGAGTTTAATTTCAGTTCGTAAAAAGGGCCACAATTTATTTTAACTCATAATATCTTTACACATCACGTTTTCATAAAATACATTTATTACACAATTTAATATTTTTATTTAATTTAGCACAATATTTTATCATTAGAAACACAGATGAGTGAGGAACCACAACGACCAGCCTGGTTTACCTATACCGAGTATGGCATAATTGGAGGAGTTTCTGTTGTTGTTATTGGAGCCATTGGCGTGTGCTGTAAGAAGTGTCTAGGTCTGTTGGGAAAACGCGACGACGACGAAGATGAAGAAGAGTATAGACGAAAAGTATACAAGAAAGCTAGACAGGCTTTTGGCACTCCTTCTATCCGACCGATGTATATAAATATTCGAAAGACATGAGCTGTTAAAGTCAAAAGAAAGATATCGAAGAATAATATATATCCCAAGATATTCTTGTGAATAGAAATGAACATTTACAAACTTCAACTTTTACAAAAAAATTGATATTTTTTTGTCACTTTTAAGCTTTTCACGAAATTTCATAGTGATGTTCAATATATGTCCAAGATCTAAAATTACACACAATTAGATTATTTCATTCAATATGGAAAATCTGGTTAAAACATTTAGGAATGAATGACATCTATTTAAATAATGAAGTATACTTATTAAGAGCCATTCTCTGTAACGACTTGAACTTTTATATAGGAGCTGTGGCACGCATAGTCTCAGAATTTCTCCAAACTCTCTATGATAAAAGTCTTTGATACCATAAACTCAAATCAGGCAGAAATTGGTTGCTACGTGTCATGGTTACCATGGCAACATGTCCTAAAGTTTGAAAAATGGCATTTTTCAACATGTTCAGAGTCCCAAAGTTAACGTTTGCAGCAAAGCAAACAAGTGGCAATGATTGTTTCTGAAAGTTGTAGGCCTGATGTCTTAAATGCATGATAAACATGTTTGGTAAATCAACTATTACATACGTTACTATGGAAACAAAGTATTCAAAAGTAATAATTTTGCTCATTTAATTTTATAAAATCAAACACTTAAGAATAAAAAAAATTATAGGTTGAAATGCAAGCAAATAATAGACAAAAGATCCTTGTAACATATACCAAGGAAGAAATATGATATTTCTTATAGGTTGGCAATGGTTGCCATGGTTTTAATACCAAGAAGGGATTTTAAATTTACTCTATTAGTGTTTAAATCTAATCCTATCTTTTTAAAAAGCATATTTTTATATAACTAATGATCAATTTTTAAAAACGTTCATGTGACCCTAATTTTCACATTTCAAAAAACTCAAATTCAATTCTTTAAATAGAGCGTTGCTATGGAAATAAGCCGAAAAAATATGCATAAAAATCTGAAAAATATTCTGTTTCCTTGGATACGTACCCTTGTATGTAGATTCCCAAAACTTTTATGATTGATAATTATGAACAACTAACCTGACTTTCAATTTTGACTGCCACCTAATCTCTAACTGGATGCAAAAAGCTGGCACATAGGGTTTAATATTGATATAAAATTAACAAAATCGAACATTTTCCCTTCTTGGTTACCGTGGCAACAGTGTTGTATTTTTCAATATATGTTATTCAACTTTAGTTCTACCAGATAAGTACTATTCAAGGTGAGTCAAATAATACGTTTCTTGAATAAAAGGTAAGTAAATTCCTAATGCAGCAAAAAATATTACTTTAAACAACTGGTACATTGTTTCCATGGTTACACTGCAAAGTAACAATTAATCCCATTTTTTCTTATGTTGTCGGTGTTGCAAGGTCCTAAGGATGTATATGTGCCAGTCATGAAATTTATTGTTTTTCCTGAAGATAGTAGCATTTACCCAATCTTAGCAACACATTTAGCATGGTAACACTGTGTTACCATGGCAACCATGAAAGTTATTTTTAGAATAATATTGCCAATACTTAATTACTTAAGGTCAAATATTTTTATTGTTTTTTCTTAGGTTGTTGATTGAGTTTGATCATTTAACACCTATCATTAGTGAATATTGAGCATTTTTCTTCATTTTTCAGCATCTAAAATGTATTCCAAATGTACCCATGGTTACCACTTACTTAGAGATAAATCCTAAATAGTTTCTTTATAGCATTAGTGGCAACAAGGTGTCAGGTTTTTGTGAAAATTGTTTGTTTGTTATTCTTAGTCTTTATTAAGGCTTAATAAAGATTCAAAGTAGCTGAAAATCTCAATTTTTCCAACTTTTCTGGCTGTTACCATGGCAACCAAGACACATAGCAACGAAATTTTATTTGATATATGTTTCTGGTGTCAAGTTGTAATAATGTGCAAAGTTTCATCAAAATCGGTGACCATGCGTGGCAAAGAAGTTTAAGTGGTTACAGAGAATCGCTATTAATGATTTGAAATATATAAAAAGATTGGCGTTGCTTTATCCCAGTGACAACTTGATTTAAGTAAATAGATAGGTAAGCATATAAAATTACTTTTCGTAATTTTAGATTAGAATAGTCGACGTAAATTGGATGGTATAATACATTCAGTTGGAATCAATTGTTTGTTTTCTACATGCTTGCTACATGTATCGTATATTTCTTTCTTAACACACAGTGGCGGTTTAATATGAGGGCTGAAAAATTAGTTACTTGTGTAATAATAATTTAACAGAATTACATTATCAATATCATGTAACTAATATAGTAGAAAATATAACACAGGGAAACTTTTATTACAGCCGTTATTAAACTGGAATTAAATTTTGAATGCAGCAAATGTCGAATACAATTCTTTTTTGCATTTTTTTTTCGAAACTTATGGTCCCTCTTCATATTTTGAATATTATGCAATTTTTTATATCTATAATATACCTGTGCTTCTAAATCTGGCAAATAAAGTTTAAATAGTCTTAAAAATATATATTTCATAGTATATTTATTTATATAATAACGTGTATTTAACTTATGACGGTTATTTACTTGTTGATGTAAAAAGTGTTTGTTTGTATGTTGTTTAACGTCCCTCTCGTGAATTTTTCACTCATATGGAGACGCCACCACTTGCCGGTGGAGAGCTGCAAATTTTGTCCTATACTCGGCACTTACGACCATTGAGCAGTGAGAGATCTTTTTCGTGCCAGCACCTACTGCGACACAGGACCTCGGTTTATACGGTCTCATCCGAAGGACCTGTCTCCATGTCCTATACAACCTTTACAAGCTTTTGATATTATATATAGAAAATCAATTGCTTTCATTGATAAAGAATATAAAAATATATTCAAAGTTCCTGATATTGAATTCAATCAGTAAACAGTTACATATAGTTCAGAAATAGGGAGTGTTTTATCTTCCAAGATATTGTACATCGTACTTATAATCCAAGTACCAATATGAAAAATTGAAAGAAAGCAAGGAGACATAAAGTTCTAGTCTATATAATAGAAAGATTGGCTACAGTGAGAAATAACCAGAGACATGGGAAAAAAAATAGAGCGATAAAGAAAGATTTGTCATGTGGCATTCTTTAAGTTCCTAAGCTTATAATTAAAAACTTAATTTCCTTAATTTCAAACATTGATTTTCAAAAATGTCTATCTTGATGAAAAAGTTCAGATAACGAACAGTAATTGATCTAAAAAAAATCTACAAACAATACAAATTTGTGAACAGGGCATAAAACACGGACCCCCAGAAATTCCAGAGCTGGGATCAGGTGCCTAGGATGAGTAAGCCTCCCTTGTTGACCGATCACATTGGTCGTGAGCCCTATGTATTTATCAGGTAGACGGAAGATTTCGTTGTCAAATTTAGTCGAAAACAATTGCCTAACAATTGCTATGAAATACGACCCAGTGATAGGTTATATTTGCTAACAAGATCATCATAACGACCATATAATTTACAAAATACGGACTTTAAACGATGTTATTGAAATCCCTGTAACATCAATTTATCTGTCAATAGCTTGTCTCGGTTTAAAAATTGATCGTATTCAAAAGATGCTCTTGAGTGTCGAATAAGTTAGGAGACATAAACCATATGTAGGTAATAGCGGAATAATACTACATAAAAAGGAAAGATGACGATGAAAAGCTGAAGTCATCTCGTTTGTCATACAATTTAGTTGTTAGTTGGCCCTTATTGTCTATAGTCAGTAAAACGTCCAAATATGAAATTTCACTGGGATATATCGAGTCGACATATGAATGGAAGAACTGTTGTTAATAAAACGTCGTCGATATATCTTAAAGTCGAGTTGAAGGCTACAGCAAGTATTTTCTTCTTTTCATGAATAAATTCTGCTTTATGGGAATATAAAAACTGGTCGGCTAATAAAGGAGCACAATTAATACCCATCGAAATTTGAACAGTTTGTTAGAAGACTTGATCTCCAAAGACTAAATAAATGTTGTGAATTAGGAACTCCAGCATCTTTTAAATATCAACTTTAGAGTACTTCTGTGTAGAATGAGAGTGATTTTTATCAAAGCAAAATAAAATAAAAATGGAAAATATAAGCAAGAAGTTAGAATTATAATAAATAATTTATTTAATTCGGAAAAAGAATTAAGTTAGAAAAAAAATAGAAAATAAAAACATTTAAAAAGAATTATGGCACTGATACCCTTCCATAGTTTCTCATTATCAAAATTCTATAAATGTGTAAACTTTACATTTGTAGACTTGTAAATTGTCTTCGTGTTTTATTAAGAGCGCGGCGATATAGATACCGGAAAACAAAGTTTACAACATAAAAGATACACACATTCATAGTATAAACTTAAAGTCAACACAGTTATATGTTCGGAACTACATGCTAGGATGTCGGAATTACCTACTCACATATGTAGACTATTGAACTGATACGATTGCACGTTCGGATTTACAAACTTACAAGTCTGGATTTTTGAACACGATTACCCTCCATAAGAATATTCTGTAGCACAGTTAATATTTTTGTAAGGAGTAAAGATGGGGGCTGGTAGAGCATTTGCTAGACCTGGGCAATGTATCTTTGTAAGGACTTTTATGAAGTCTAGGAATCCAGTATAGGTAGGGTAGATCGAACTCATCTTGGTTGACTTGAATCTTAAAAGTATTAAACACTGAAATGTGATTTTGGAGAATTTCAAAATGAACTTTGAGTACAAGTTGGATTTTCAGAACGTACAATTAAAACCAAGTTTTTCTAAAATACAGTTTTAATAATGAGCCTTACAAACAAAAACGATATTATTACAAAGACGATATTATTATCGAAAGTATCATTGGGAGAACCCTTTACAGACATCTCTGTGGTTGAGGTAGCGTAATTATTTAGAGGTGTCACTCTACATGGAAGAACACCCTTAATGATCATTGAAGAAAATCTTAGAAGAAAATCGTATACAAGAACGA